TGTAGTCACGTTTTTGTGGCTGCGCACACCCGCAACTGTGTGTTATGGAGGTATAGCCCCCACTTGGCACGATGATCCTATCCCCGTCCCCCCCGGATTAGTAACGAGGGGCCGAGCTACGCACTTCAAGGAGGAGCGCGCCGCACCCATCCACAATGTCTTAACTAAGAAAGCGCCACACACTGGTGATAAACACGGCTGGATTATGCACATACACATGGCGGAGTCTCCCGAGAAGTGTGGGAACCCCCCGGGCTCCAGATCTCTCCACGTTCACCAAATAAGAGCACGCGCGAGGAAGACCACAGCCCCCCCCCCCCCAAATTCGTGGGTGTATCTCTAATCAGCTCACATTGGAGTGTGCCTAGGCCCCCTCTCTCAAGGCCCCCTCTAATTTCGTGGCTCACACGTTTAGAGCCCCCATTCAGTAGATATAGGGGGTCATTTCCCCTCCCCCAACACTAAATTTTGGGGGCCATATATATATATATATATATATATATATATATATATATATCTCTATATATCTATATAAATGCTGTGTTCCATTTCGTGCAATACAACACGAAATGCATAAAATATGTCAAAATTCGATAAAAAAATACGTTCGTTATCTCAAAATCGAAGTAGGTTTGTTTCATATTGATAATTATTGTGTTCTAATTGATATTATCGGAAAAATTTGACGATTTGGAAAGTTTAAGAATTCGGAGGTCGAGAGAATTTGGAAAAAAGTTAAAGGATTTCTTGACAAATGAATTATTTTGCACTGTAACTGGAAAAAATTGCACTATGAATAGTAAACCCCTAATGTGCATTAACCAGTAAGTAATTACCGGTTTTTTGTTAGGTTTATTACAATTAGTACCCTTATTTTTGTTGGTCAAATTGCACATCACCCCTGTAAATTTCTAATTTTCGCATTTTTCCCTCTCATTTTTTTTAAGGGTTAATAGCATTTCGCCACCTGGACTTTGCTCGTTTTTGCACTTTGCCACCTTAACTAAAAAAAGTTGCAAGTGCCCACCCAAACTCAGTTTTTTGACGCACATAACCACCTAAGGGGAATATTCCGGCGAATATTCTCATTTTTCAAGGCACGCGCGATGCACATGCGAAAGTACAAGGGTTTTTTCGTCTTTTCACCAGAAAATATCATAAGGGGGTGAAATTGAAAGTACCATGGACTCAATTGAATTTAATTTGAAACTTTCACAAATTTGAAATTAATTGAAGCTTTGTGGCTTCATCTTCCATGGGATAAAAACACCCTTTTCCGCCGGCGGCGCTGATAAAGGAAAACACCACCGTTGTTGACAAGTATTCTGATCATCACACAATGAAAACAAATTACCGGTGTGATATGCCTAATTGGGCCAACCCAATGGGCCCACAATTTCTTTACCTACTGGGCTACGAGTCCAATATCGAAGACTAATATCACCGAGGCCCAAACACCTTCAAGTAAGGCTTGGGCCCAACAAAGCAAACCCAACCCAATAAACGACATATAAATAGAGGTTTTCCTCATTTTATTAAGGTACGTCCTATTAACTGAGCAATACTACAATACGTATTCTCTGGACCATTTCTATGATCAGCACGTCTGACTTGAGCGTCAGAGGGGTTTCCGCCGGATCAACCCCCGGCTTAGCTTATGTGTTCTATGATCGCAGGTACCTCAGGATCATCAAGTTGTCAAGCTACTGATCTGCTTTGCTCTCCCAGTTCGTTTTCTACACCACCCTAGGTGAGCTAGTAATTAGCATCATCATTTTGGCGCCGTCTGTGGGAACGATGCAAACCAGATCACGTAGCCAACAAGATCCTCCTGAGGCGGCTGCTCGGAGAGAAAAGGACACAGCAAATGACCTCCCACCTCGTGGAGGCTCTGGCTTGCCACCTCCTCCACATCCCATGGATCCGCCTCGCGAGGTTCAGGTGATCCCCCTTGGGGACCAACCACTCGCCGATCCACCGCTCCCTGCTCCTCGAATGGTTCAAATAACCGAGGATGCGCTTCAACGCATGATAGCAGAAACTTCAACTCGCGCTGCCATAGAGGCCGTGACCCAATATATCGCCACGAGGGGAGCAAATGCTCCCAACGCGATACCAGCACCTGCTCCACATGTGGAGCCACCTATGGCACCACCGCCGTCGACTCCCTGGGGGCTTACATATGCCCCCAAAATATTTCACTCGCCAAGGGTTATCGACTCCCTGGGGGCTTACATATGCCCCCAAAATATTTCACTCGCCAAGGGTTATCGACTCCCTCGGGGCTTACATCTGCCCCCAAAATATTTCGCTCGCCAAGGGTTATCGACTCCCTGGGGGCTTACATCGCCCCCAAAATATTTCGTTCGCCAAGGGTTATCGACTCCCTGGGGGCTTACATCTGCTCCCAAAATATTTCGTTCGCCAAGGGTTATCGACTCCCTGGGGGTCACATCGCCCCCAAAACATTTCATTCGTCATAGCAGGAGCCAACGCTCCTCCTCGTGAGGCCCCACTGGGTCCTCAACATGATCAATTTCTACTTACTTCTCGAACGGTTCAGATAACCAAAGAAGACCTTCAGCGTATGATCACGGAAGATTCAACTCGTGCTGCCACTGAATCAGTGGCACCATATATCGCCAAGGTGGGGCATCTCACCCCAGTGGTTCGTCATCA